GAAATAATTGTCGAAGTCCGCGAATGTGTGAACATTGGTGACTACACACGATCGCGATTGCACTTCATTGCTGAGACTCATTATGAAAATCGACCATCATTATGAAAGTCGTTGGACCTTGGGAAAATTATCTGGATATCGTCACGCGCTGGCGGAAGACGCGGACTGATCGCGGCCGAGCGGAAGGTCTCGAGGAATTAGAAATTCAGAACACGCGCAATGCATACGTATTTTCTGCGAATACGCGTATCTCTGGAAAAACAATAGCGGAACAGACGGAAATGGACGGATGAGCGGACGGACGCGGTCGCGACATCGATTGCGCAATCGTGCCGGCTGCAAATGTCAAATCGCTCGTAAAGAGATGGAAAAGGAAAAAAGCAGATAATGAAAGATACCAGAGAATCTCCCCGACAGGAGGTTTTACAATGAACTTTGACCGACAATCACGTCTCCTTTCCTTTCTTTTTCTCTGCCGCGAAGTCGCTCTGCCATTCTTAACGTGGCGAGTCGCAATCGTGCGTCACTTGCAAATATCGAATTACGTAAATAATAGAAAGAGGAAAGTAATGGAAGAAAAAACGAAACATATCAGAGAATTTCCTCGAGGGAATTTCGCAATGGACTTTGACCACATCTCTCTCTCTCTCTCTCTCTTCTTCTCTTTCCCTTTCTCACGAAGTCTCTTTTCTATTCTTAACGTGGCGAATCGTTCTTGACATTATGCCGCGACGAGAGTGCTTTTCCTCGAGCGTAATGAGCCGCGCGCGCCGTGCAAGTGCAACTCGCGCCGCTAGAAAGTAGAGGAGGCGAAGGCGCATTATGCAAACGCACCTCCGCCACCGTCGACACCGTGTTACCGTGCACACGATCGATCTTGAATTTCTACGATGCGTAAATAATCGCGTGATTACCGGCCTCTGGTCGATTACGCGAGACCAGTCGTACATTGATTGAGTCGCGCGTACATTCCGATCGCGATAAAACCGGTAAGGCCGGACGAGATTTCGCGCCGACGGAATCGCCAACGGCGATTAAAACGCACCAAAAGGAACGAGCGTCGTTCCCTCCCCGCGGCGGTCTTTCTCTCGCTCGGCGTTGCATGTCCAGGACTCGCATATTTTTCGAGGATTTTCGAGGGACGCGCTCGAGATGCGGGAGACTCGTATGTGCGCGCGTTGTTGTTTGCGGCGAGCAGGGTTGGGCAAATACGTATTTAAAAGTATTTGAAATACAGTATTTAAACTTAAATTACGCCTCTTACCGCCGATTTATATTAAGTAATTAATTACAAAGTTAAAGATACTTAATCATTTGCTATTTAAATATGTATCTAAATAAGATACATATTTAAACATATATCTTAGATACTTCCAAATACGTATTTGCCCAACCCTGGTGACGAGTCGCGTATCCACCTTATCTTTTGATGTGATTGTAACAGGAATTATTGAGCGAAATTCTTATCAGCTGGGAGCAATTTCCACAACTGCCGTGGCACGGTGATACTGGTCGCGATCCAAACTGAGTAATCATCGAGGTGAGGTAATGCTATTGCCGCCGGGGGTGGGAGGTTTATTTGATCGATTCCACCGGTGTATTGTTAATCGGCAATGTAAACCGCATCGATTGAAACACATAGCGATGTTTGACACGGGGAAGGGACAAGCTAATGACTCCAAGGAAAGAGAAGCTGATGACGAGGAGTGTGATGACGCAAAAGGAAGGGAAATTAACCTTTAAGGGTTAAGGGGTATAATTTATACGATGGGTTTATGGAGAGAAGGGGGGAGGCAGCCGTCTCACTTTCAACCGGAGGTATACAATCGAAAAGATAAACGAAGAAGTATCGTGACATGTGATATTCACCAAAGATACGTCGGATGCAGAGGCTGCTTCCTTCTTAGAAGAACCTCGATAAAAATCGTAACGCAATGTGCCGATCGCGTCATTAATACGCAACGTGTTGTAACGTCACACTTTGTCGTAAAACCGGCGTGTGCTCGCCTCATTTTCATCCTTTGGTTCCTGTCAGGTGTGACAGTCATTTGTTCGACATAAAAGCAATACGTAAGGTAAAAGTACCAATGTGCGAACACGTACTTAATCCTAGACGTTCTTATTACTTTGGTCTTTAAATATGAGTATTTAAACTTTTAACATAAAAAATATATATTCTACACTGAAAATTTAAATATTTTTATTTGAAGACCAAATCCATAAGAATGTGCAAGATTAGGCGTGTGTCAGAGAATTAATGACTGTGTGAGGGAGATGAAATCTGAGAAATAAAAAGTATTTTTCCGGTGAATTTAAGAATTAAAAGATCAACATAATAAGTAATGAAAGAAATAAAATATCTAAGAAATAAAAAATATATCTATTCAGGTACTAATAACACATACTTATTTATACCAACACATTAAATATTATTCAGTACTACGTACATTTTCGTAAAACCTGAGCTTTTCACAAGAGCAATTGTTTATTCCATCTAAACAGTAAAATTTAGATTTGAGTAAATGTATATGTTATTTATGTAAATATATATGTTATAGTACACACCAAATGAATATTACTTCTTTTTCAGATATTTTTTCTCTTAATGCAATCTTTTACCTTAAATTTGTCACTTTAGCGCATTTGTAGACACAAATTCATCATTTCACGATTTATCGCTCCTCATTGATTAAGAGACATTAACTCTCACCAGATGACTTACATAATCCATAGGTCTGCTTAGCAAATACGCTCTTTGCACACTCTAAATTTCTTGGAGTGAGACTTCATTCCAGAATAGTGAAAATTACGTTAGTCGAAGTTAGAGCGAGAACTTCACTCCAAACGAGTGAAAACACACTCCAATCAAGCGAAAAAATTGTTCGCTTGGAATGTTCTCACTCGTTTGGAATGAATTTTCACTCGTTTGGAGTGAAATTCTCGCTCTAACTTCGACTGGCGCAATTTTTACTACCTTGGAGTAAAGTCCCACTCCAAGAAATTTAGAGTGTATCTCTTACGTTTAATCTATTAATCTAAGCGACCAATATCATGATTATTATTCTGGATCTATATTGCAAGAGAAAACACCTGCAGAAAACGCCTCGACAATTTGGAACACACTTGGAACGATCGCGCTTGCCTAAAGGACAGGTATTGTACCTGGTCGCCTTCGACGACGGCGGCGGCGGCGACGACGAGGAGGAGAAAAAGCGAGAGTGCAAAAAAGACGGGCCACGCGCCAGGAAAAAGTCGCGGGAGAAGGACATTTCGCAAAAGCGAACGCTAGACACCGGCTATAATCCCCGACCAGTTCGGGCGGTTCGTTCATTGCTGTTTCCTCATTGTGCAACAGTCTCGATCGCCAATTATTGTCGGCAGTACGAATAAAAAAGGATTCAGCAAGGAGAGAAGAAAAAAAGGCGAAACGCACATTGTCGACAATGTACGACGAGGACGGCGGCGAGGACTGTTCTGAGGGCAAACGATCGTCCTTCGACTTGCGGGAGCAGTTTCGGTTTCGCGCAAACTTTCCGCTCTTATGACCGGCTCTTATAATCGGAGCGTCGCGCAACCGGCCGTCGAAAATATCGGCTGCGCGCAATAGTCACTCCCGGCTTATTATTATCTCGCTCTGTAATCGACTGGTCGCTATAAGCGAAAAGAAAAAAAGGACAGTAGTGACAGCTCGTTCTGCGGACGAGCGAATTTCGCGGCGGCTATATTTCATCACGCGGCCGTGTCGCGTAAATTATCGTCTGTTGTCGTTGTGCCGAAGTGCAATTTCGTGCCGTTTCCGCGCACGTTATTTACGATAGCCGCGGGTTTCGGCGTTTCCGAGATATCTCAGGTGTTTGAATATCAAATTCTCTTGTTATTCCCGGGCTGTTCCCTCGCGCGAGTCTGTCAAAAATTCCGCGCCGCGATGCACTTTCGGGGCAAGCGAAATATCTCGAAATATCTTCCGTTGCACACGTTATCTTACATGTATTATGCGCGCGCTTGTAGATAAAGTTAAACACCGGCCGGAAAGCTTTGAAAAAATGTATCATTGTAGATATCGCTACTACAAATAAGAGGCAGAAATGCTATTCTTTCCACAAAAATAAGTAACGAAATGCATAAGTCACATTTATTCGTACTTTATATTTAGCCGACAATAATTACACGCGAGTAAAACGTCTTACGTAAGTCTGCTTTTTTCTTTGTGTACATATCCTCGTCACAGGTGTGCATCATCATTAACGTATTGTGATACCGCCATTTCCGATCGCCAATCCGAGGTTCCGCGAAGATAAGCCGGTCAAGATCGATCCTGTCGCATCATTCTCGAGGTATTTTTTGCCAAGCGCGGGATTTTCCCTCGCAGGAGAATTCGCATAGCTGCGGGATCAATCCCGGGAGACTGAATATAAACGCCCCACCTAACGCACTTTTCGGTATCAAATGTGTGTTGTGATAAGATATTTCTTCTTAAATATCCCATCGAGATAAATAAAAACTCATTTGTATAGGAATTTTCTGAAATTGCTATTTCAGTGTTAACATTCGCTTCGTTCCTCGTTCTATCACTTTAATCGATTAAGGAAGACACGTGCTTCTTTATGTCAGAGAAATGCGTCGAAATTACACGATATCTTTTCCCTAAACTGCATACTTCAGTATCACTATGCTTTCACGTGGTGAGGCGAGTACGTCACGAATCACTGAGGTGGCAAAAGAGAAAGAGAAGGAGAGAGAGAGACAGGCAGATAGATAGATAAATAGATAGACAGGGATTGTCGAATACTCTTTGAACGAATTGGCAGGAACTGTCTGCTGCGCTCAATTAGTCACGTCAATCAACGATACGAGCAATTTTTCCACTCAGCCGTCTCCCTTCTCTCTCTCTCTCTGTTGTTTACCAAAACTCCCAAGTTCCTCGTGCGTCTAAAACGCGTGCGTCGCGGATCCTTAATGAAAAGCGACGCGTCGACGATGCACACGTGTCGTTCACTCACCGTGCTCGATGTAAATCCTAGATTGTCGTGCGACATCCTGGAGGGATCACTGGGTACCACCATATTTCAGGCCGGCGATGAGTCCTCGCATGCGACAACGCGGTAGGAAGTGAAGGTACCGAGCAAAACGAGAGAAAAAGAGAGAGAGAGAGAGAGAGAGAGAGTGAGTGAGGTACACGTGAGAAGTGACAGGAAAGGGTTGAATGGATAAAGACAGGCAGAAAAGAGAAGAACGAAGAGGAAGAGTTGAGAGGAGGAATGGAGGAAGAGGAGAAGAAGAAGAAGAAGAAAGAGGAGAAAAAGAAGAAGAAGAAGAAGCAGAGCAACGTGCGAGACTCTTTAATCTTTGAAGGTGCGTTGCATTGTGTGCCGTGGCAGGTACGGCCGCCGCAAGTCGACTGGTCTCAGTCTTAGCGCGAAGTATTATTTATATAGCATCAACGGCATGCGACTCGCGGCTCTCGGTACCGTTTCGTACGCGTGTCGTTTCGGCCGAGCCGAGAACACACACCGGGGGGGAAGTCGACTCTCGGCCGGCTAATCGACGCAGATAGTACCCTTAACCATGTCTCGCACATGGCACCTGGACGCAGGTGATGGTGGACACAGCCATCCCGGGTGGGCCGACCAGCATTTTGGAATTTTTCTCCGCGAGGGCACGCGCGTCACGGAAAAAATTGAGCGAGCGGGAGCCCGAGTCGTGGGACAAGCTCTTCAAGCGATTGCCTCTTCACCTGCACGGATTCCTGTCGCACAGGACTCGAGGGTGAGTGAGGGTGCGCGTCCTTGTACGGGGACGAGAATGCAGGCGACGCGTTCGCGCGCGAGCGAAACGGAGGAGCGATTTTGCGGGGCGCTTCTGCGTTTGCACGGTAAATTTAGCCGTGTTCTTTTCTCCCTTCGTCCTCCTCGTCGCGCACGAACGGAGGAGAGCGGAGGGATCTATTAATAATGCGTGCGAAATTAATGAGAGATGCGACGCCGTTTCGCTCCCCGTGCTAATCGCTGGCTATCGTTGCGTCGCATCTATAATATCTGAAAAGCGTAACGTGTAGTGCCTTTTTCCGCTCGAATCGCGAAGATAGCGCATCGTAGATCGCGGCTGTTAAAGCTCCTGGTTCCTCATCGCGGATTCGGGTCAGATTTTATTGACTGATGACATGAGGAAACGAAGTCCAAAATTCCTGGAAGGTACACTGCGAAAAAAAGCAATTGGATCGATAAAATCGTCCGCCTTCAGAGAAATGTTATATCTATTGAACTAATTACGCGTCAGTGCAACAACAAATTACGTTGATATAGTTACTGACCAAACCATAATCATTGAATCGATCGATTCTTCACAGCAACTATATAATTAGGTCAATCGACTAAACACTTACCTGTGAACAAATTTTATTCGTTTAAGCAAAGTCTCATTAACTCAATCACTATTTTTCTCAGTGGATTTCGAAAGAGACACGTGACACTTGCTGTCGAACTGCAAGATAATCCGAATACTTTTCTCTTACTGTGAGTCCAGATTTACAATGTGCGATTCCTGTTTCTTTTTATTTTTTTCTGACTTGAACCTTTAACTAGAAAAAGATAGAGAACAAGAAATAGGAAGCAAAGAGCATATTGTAAATCAGGTTTAACAATCGATAAATTACCATGAAATTAACGTGACGCACAACCTACCTCATATTTTCTCATGATTTTATCACGTTAATTTTGCAATTACTTAACTTGATTACAAGCACAAAGGAAGAGTGTTCGGACTGTTTTGCACATCTGCTCGATTGATTAAATGTCATTTTATGAACGCATCTTTTCATTTCTACGTATTTTGCAAGAATTTTTAGCGTGTATTTACTTGTTTTTAACGTCATAAATCAAGATGGCCGCGGCAAAGAGCCAGGAGCCTTAATCCTTTCGCTCGCTTTGTCATCGGGTAGATGCTCAATAATAATGTAAAAGTAATTTTTCCACGCTTTACACAAAACTTTCCATTAGCGCGCTTCTTTATCGTGCTATATGATTTCATAATACGAATATTTCAATAATGAATACGGTATTTCGCCGTATCCCCTCCTTTCTCAGGTGAATTATCGATTTCTACCTATCGATATAATTGTACTTTTTATCTACTCGAGTGTTATCGTTTGATGATAAGCGAAAAAAATATAACGACCTTTAGATGATAAGAGAAAAATGTAACGAGGCCTTTTTCGAGCATTGTATTCAGTCCCTCTTTCTGTCCGCGAAAACTTGCTAATTTCATCTTACAAATTGTAATAAGACGCGCTAAGCTCAATCCTTTTACTCTTCCGCTACGCGTGTGAGCAATCTCTCCTTCCGAACAAAAGAAAATAAATGCGGCAATGATAAAGGATTTCGGGAACGAACTCTACGATAAATCATGACGTATCATTCTGACAGCCTGATATTCAAAATCAAGACACCGGATCTTGAAAAACACGCGTGTCCGTCGAGCGTGACTAGAATGCAATTTAATAGGGATTTAACTTTTTCCTCTTCTGCTTTTTCAGATGCGCGGACAAATTTGGAAAAAAAAACGAGGACGACGCGCGCATATTCTCTCTAAAAATAAAGCAGTCGTACATTGTAATATTAAATAATAAGCTAAAGGAGGAAAATTTTATCCGTTCTCTACGTGGAAGCGATCAGTCTTCTCATAATCGAGGAGCGAAGCGATATCGCGCTTTGCGTGTCGCGCGTCACGATCGGAGTGACAGACATTCCGAAATGTATGACGAGAATTTCGTGGCAATGCAAACAAATAAAACCGCACAACTTCTCTACGAATGAGAGGAAGGATCTCGCCGTTCTCGAGATACGAGAAAGCTGCATTCCTGAGTGTCCTTCCAGATAGAGCGTGCGGTATAATTTGCGTCACAGTCGTCGCAGAAACTGTGCGTTTATACTAAACGCCCGAAGCCGCTTTTTGCGTCACGTGTTTACTTCCGAAAGCGAATGAATCGATTAACATTATATGAACCGCTCCCCCCTCTCTCTCTCTCTCTTTCTTTTTGGTGCTCTCTCTCCCTTGCTCTTTGAGTGTTTACACACACTCAGAGAAACGTGATAATATTAACTATATAGTCGACTACGTACCAGTTTTGTATGCAGAACTGTGACGTATATAATTCAATAAACTATTTTTTAATTATTGCAACTAAAGCTTTAGTTGCAACAGTTATAGAAAACAGTTTATTAAACTATTACTACATTAATTCTATGTATACGTAAGTAGTACAGTTGTCACCAGGGCCCTTATTCTTGAAATAGTTGCGTATACGTAAGTTTTACTGCGCAAGTTTAATCATATCATAAAATAGCTGCGCAATGAAAATTACGTATACGCAAAAATTTCAAGAATAGAGGTCCTGCACAGCTGTCATCATCATATTTTTTCTCTGAATGTAGATAATATAATTTGACAAAATAATAGAAATGACATTCTGATATTGTACGGAAAGAGAAAGAGAGAGGGAGAGAGGGAGGTCGGTCGACGGATCGCTCAATAAAAATGATGATTCTTCGCCGAAACATGACGCCGCGTGACCATGAGTTTTGCGTGGGTGTAACGTGAGGCCGATGAATCTGGTTGAATCACGGCCCGTCCTTAGCCTTCGCGGTTCGCCTTCCAGACGTGCGTTTCACGTCGCACGAAAGCATACGTCAAGTACGTAGATGACAATCGTCGCATAAATCAAGAATCGGGCAATCAGTCTCGCTTGTGCGGCTCGTCCTGCATATCTCGGGACATTTCAGGATTTCCTTTTTATTTCGTCCGTGTGTATACATTAAAATAAATGCTCATGACGAACGCGGAATACGTCGACGTGTCGTCGGCAGACCCAAAGCGCGAGAACAATTCGCACAAGTGTTGTTTTATAATAATTTCTCGGTACAAAAATGTTAAGCATCGATTCTCTCTGTTCATTACACACGCGTGCGCGCACACAAGGTCTTCTCGTTACGACGGGCGTTACGGGTCTCTTCTGTGAATGAAACGTGTGGCTGAATTTCACCGAAGTGTTACTCATTGAGTAATAAACTCCCGACTGTACAATTTACTGTTTATAATCAATCAATCATAACGAGATGCAGTCGTAGTTATACGGTCACTCGCACTTGCAGGCTTGTCAGTGAGGGTTCGAACAGATGCATGATTAACGTTATTAGTATAGTATAATTTATAGTAAAATACATCATGGTCAACGTGCATGCCCGTTTCAATGTCAATCAACTATTGAAAGAGAAAGTGTCTTTCCCTTCTAAACCGTTCTCCTATGATAGCGCGGTGCATATTATCGCATAAAGTACAAATTATAATCGTTAATCGTGGATTATTAATTATTCGATCGCGACTCTAATTTAAATTTCATCACACTGCGCGACAAAAGGTCGGTGTCGCTTCAGGAATAGAAGGATCATCATATTGAGCATTTCAATTACGAATCGTCTTTTTCTTGGCACACATTTAATTTAGCTAAATTTAGCTAAATATAAATAATTTAGCCAAATATTAGTTAAGTAGTTAACGTAAAAAAGTCTAGAATTTATATTGGAATATAAAAATTTGTCTATGTACGTCTGGAAAAGGCACGGCGAGATAAGAAATTAAACGGGAAAGCATATGAAACTCGATGCAGAACGGTTTGCAAAAGAATTCAGGAGCGTAGTCTCTCGCACAACTACGCAGGTGTGTATGTGTATATGTATGGTTCACGTGCCTGTGAATTTAGGTAGCTTACGATTCGTTTGATTAATGTTAAACTTGCACAAATCTCCGCCTCGTTAATTATCGATATTATTATGGAAGCGTGCAAAGTACGTCCTGTCACCGATTCGTTAATCAGCGTTTACAAAGATCGGATGTGACGCATCGCACATTACGTCGATATATGTACTTCATATATTTTAAAAAATAATAATAAAATATATTTCAACAATAGCGACACGGTAATATATATTCGTTCCAGCGGAACGCAAAAATTGAAGGCATCGAACATAAAAGTAGGCTCGATTGTTTCTATCGCAACGTTTATTTCTGTACTATACAAAGTGCTGCTGCATTAGCAGTCAAGTTTTATTCGTAAGCTATTACCCCCGATTATTACATGCCACGTAGTAGTAAATGCAACATCGTATAGATAAGAAAGTGGAGCAATTTACAGAATCTCTTCTTCTTTTTCTTTTGGAAGATGTTATTTGCGATAATTGCGATTGAAAGTGGATAATTATCTTAAGGGACAATTGAGAAATATTCGTAATCCTGTTCTATTACATATCACACGCGCCACAGTATGTAGAAACATTAATCTACTTTTACTCCAGTGTCTTCAATTCTTGGCAAATAAGCTCCTCTTCCCTCCTCCTGCTCTCTCTCTTTCTCTCTCGAAACTCTCTCGAGACTTCTCTCTCTAGCCTTATGCGTTATATATAGACATGTACATGTGTGTACATATATTTGATGCATGTATATAGTATATGTGTACATATGTATATCTCTTATATATTTAACAAACTTTATGATCTAGATTACACGTAAAGTTTAGGTAAGATCCTTTCTGAAAATATTCAATGGGTTCGCAGATACGCTTCCTATTAGCCGTTGTTTCATATATAACGGACACAGTCGTCGAAGTGTTCTTTTCTCACTGCCAAATGTGTATTCAATATGATTGCGATGTATACGTAAGAATCAATAATTGCAAAATATAGACACTTGAGTTTAAATCAGTATTATGTCAGGATCCTCAGTATCTCTTCTCCAATTCCTGACAGTAATGAGTTATTGTCACCTTTACCTTCGATTACTAGATTTCCCGTTGTTTTCTGCAACATTAAACATTATCGAGCCACGTTATTTTCAATCCTTCAAACTGAACTGACTTAACCTTGAAGCAATTTTCAAGTAAAATCAACGCGATAAAAACTTATACGAGATATTAATGCTTGTATTTTATTTTTACCGAATTATAGAGGAAAGTGATATATGACTTAACTTACATTAAATTTTAACAAAAGGCACACATGATGTCCCTTCAGAGAATGTCCGTATAAAGACGCAGTATCCTCGATCTGCTCCACGAGAGTAAGATTGCATTTGCGGCAAATAACATTCAGCACTGCACCGAAGTCTTGTGTAGGCGTCATCTCTTTCCTAATCTTAGATATTAATTGACCGCTTTTGAGAAGTTCTGTGAGAATGTCCTTATGAGAAAGATGACCGACCATGAACTTGCTGCACGACAAGTGCACGGTGAAATCGAGCTTTTCTTGTTGCGTGCCTTCTCTACTTTCAAACATGTATGTCAGTGTACCTCTCAGTCTCTGAGCGAACGTTACGTCCGAGACTAGAATGGTGAACTGAGTTTCTTTGCTAGTTTGCAGAGGCAGTTGGAACGGCAGTTTTATCCCAAATTCATCCCCAGGCTGCAAAGAGAGAACAACAGAAACAATAAATTGCGATTTTAACGGATTAGGCTATTCGTAATATATAAATGTGCAAACTTACATTTTTAACTAATTTGAGTGACGACGTATCTGGAACATCGAAGACCAATTCTCTCACGAGTGTCTGACCTATATTTGTAATGCGAATCGATACGATAACTTTATTTGTTTCATGAGGAATTTGTTTCAATTCGTACGTCATGGAAATCACTTTATTTTTGGCCAGCTCCTCGTAAGAGGTATTCTGTATGGGAATCGTGTCATACTCGGAATTTGTGATATTGTTCTTCAAGTCCGGCAATATCTCCTTAGACGGAGTCGATATCCCCGCCGTTTCTTCGTAATCCAACGATTTGTTTTCCTTCTTATTTTTCGATTTCTTCGATTTTCGATGTTTCACGTCGTCTTCGTTGGATTTCTTGTGCTTGTCTTGGCCCTTGGACTTTTTGCGCTTGCTATCCTTTTGTGGCTCGCTAGACACCTCTGTGTATTCTCCAATTGCGGGAGACGGCACTTTCTCCGGAGACGAATTGTTTTCCAACCACAAATCAGACGATTCTCTTGGATTGGTCATTTTGTTTTCTGTAGCATCCTTGATCTTTCTTTTAGACTTCCTGTGTCTCTATTGATAAAATACAAATACAAACGGATTATTTAAAAATATGAAAGAGGAACGTAAATAGTTTAAGCAAATTGTAAAGTTTATTAATATAAAGGCAAATTTACTTTTTCTTTTTTGTTTCCTTTCTCCTCAGCCTCTTGCGTTATGTTATTTTCGATAATTCTATGTTCTAAGACAGGCAATCTTTCATCTTCTCTTAAAGGCATATCCAGATCAATGTTCAAAGCTCTATGTGGGTCGTTTGCATCTACTAAATCGTAATCGTCACTATCACTTATTTCTGCACCCGGAGGTAGCTCTCCTACACCCGTATTTACTATTTGCAACGGTAGACCGTCATCTTGCTCATCCTCCGATGCAGATTTTTTATCTAATAATAATAATGATGTGAGAGAATTTTATCTTTGTATGAAAATAATATAAAAAGATATCACGCCTTTAGTGCACAGCATATTTAGTAGTGTATATAACTCTTGCATTAAAAAAAACAATTACCTTTATTCTTCTTTGATTTTTTCTTCTTTTCATGCTTTTTATGCCTTTTATGACTGCTGTCTATGCTGATATCACGACATCTGTGCAGATTAGTGATCTTCAAAGAAATTGGGATGTCTAATTCTGCGACGGGAATGTTCTCGAAGTCTTCGTACAGATTCGATGAATTATGATATGACGTAGAAGTCTTAAATGATCCCTTTAAGTAATGAGGATTATTCTCCTGTTCTAGTTTTCTAGCTTCGCGCCTTCGCTCGAGTTCTTCTATCGACGGTTCGCCTAATTCGCGCTTAGAATACGAATCGTTCGATTTCTCCGACTTAATAAAAATATCGTTCATATCTAGATCCTCGGAATCTGAGCTCTCGGAAGGTGGATCGTTGATCCATGAATCTAAATCCAATTCCTCAGGTATTGGAACCTAAAAAGTATCGTGAAATTTTGATTACAAAACGTATATAAATTTGCCAATTTATAAAAATAAAATTCAGATAATCGATGTACAAATAACAATAATATATCAGTATAACATTGATGTTTACTTTTCTTTGCGCTTTTGGTGCAACTGGATTAAGTTCACCATCGAAAGTCTCCATTAATTCCTGTGCAAGACCGGGGTTCTCTTTTAAACATTCAAGCAGTACCAATGCAGAACTAGATCTTTCCTGAACTTCCAGATCACCGCTACAAACGAAGGCTGCTATTTTATCTTTCAGTCCGTGAATCTATAAAATAAAATAAACGTTTCACTAATTTAACTTTAATTTGCCTTTTACTTTAACAAATCATCAGTAGGAATGCAACACTGTAATTTCGCTGCCGTTACACGAATTATACTCTATACCTTTTCCATAGTTTCTGTGTCTCTTTCTTTTTCTGCTTTGGCGAATGTTGTCGCAGCTAGTTTTAATATATTATGAACGTAAACTGCTTGTATATGTCCCGGTAAACTAGAAGCTTGCGATCGCAACATAGATTGCAATGTCGCCAAGGGATCTTCCAATTCACTGTTGATTTAACAGATTGTTAATTATATTAATGACTCTGTCACACATTACGTGATTTCCCCAAAGTATTCCTACTACTACCTAGAAAATTCTCCGCAAATCCACGCCGCTGCGTATAAAACCTCGGACATTGTCGCCCTTGGTTGGCCGGTTAATAGATATGAATTCTCAAGCAGTAAGGCACATTGTTGAACTGCATATTTTCGTATAGCTTGTACACGAATCGCTACGTCGAGTAATTGAGTTGCTACTAATGGTCCATGCTTGGTGCCTTCCATTCGTGTAAGTTCCACCAATACAGATATGTACCTGAAAATATATACAAAGTTTGCTGTACAATCTGCTCCGGGGAATCTAAACTTACAGAAAGAACTTCCATACTCACCATTCAAAATAGGTAATGAATTGATAGTTGTTCTGTGAGCAGATCTGAATAATCTTTGAGAGCAATTCATCACGATACGTAGTGCCTTCGGCTTTATCCATATGCACCATTAACTTCTTAACAATCTCCATTAGATTCTTCTTGGATACCATCCCGTACAGTAAGTCCAAGGCACGCAGTCTTATACTTTCGTCTTTATCGTCAAGGCATTGCATAATAAGATCCTTGTGAGCTTGTACGCTTTTCGGATGAGTCTTTAATATCTTTGACATCGCCAACAATCCCAAATACTTTAAGTTTTGGTCAGAGTCCTCAATCAGTATTCTCAATTTCTGAACACACAGCTGTATCGAATCGGAGTGGTTCGGCATACCGGATGATATAGAGATCAATACGGCTATTACTGTATTGATACATTCGTACAGTAAGGACATTGCCGATGTACTGGAAACGATTAGTAATATGCTGTGAATATAGTGAAAGATATTGAAAATCAAGTCAAAAATAAAAGAAATAAAAAATATATATACAGTA